CATTTAAAATTTTAACTAATAATTTTATTTACTTATTTATTAATTATTTTTAATATTAATTTCGGATCCGAATCTGGATCCGGATATCGTGGATATCTGGAGTTTTAGTCGGATATCTAAAGTCTGGATACCCGGAGATCACGGAACTGGATCCGGATAAATTTACCATGGATCCGAATCTGGATACCCTAAAATTCTAAGATATCCAGATCTGTCCCACTCCTAATGTTAGGAATGTTTTGTTTGTTTGGTTTTTCGATGTTAGCAAATGTTATAAACAGAGAAACAAACAAAACAAAGCTCATTTTTCTTTCTTGCTTCCATATGTATAAACAAATATGTAGAGACTAGAGACTAGTATATTTTTTTGGGTTAATTTGTGTAATAACAAACTTTAGAATTTTAATTAGGATATTAATCATGTAATAAAAAAAAAATAGAGTGTGTAAGCAATGAAATAACTGAGTGGACGATACTAACCTCTACACGTGGAAACAAAGCAAGCATGTGAGATGTGGGTGATGTCATCTCCACCAAATCGTAGTGTTGTGCAAAGGAGAGAGACACGGGAAACTTATCATAGCCATAGATATTTAATTGATTTAAATATAAACAATTTTCTTCCAATTATTTATGTGGCTATGAATGAATGGAGTAAGTGCATTTTCGTCCGTCGATACATATTATACATGTACTTTTTGACTGCACAATATCTTTGGTTAGTACTTAGTAGATCAGTTATAATTTTTTTTTGAGTCCATTATGCTAATTTCCCTATTTTTATATATAAAAAGTTGTATGATAGATCCTAGTCCCTAGATGTAATATTCCTTTTCACAAGGATAAACAATGATATAAAACTCAAAGAACCAACATTACTATTTCAAGAAGAAGAAAAAAAAGAGCTTAAAATTTGAAAACATTCTGCAGTAATTTTTTTCTAACTTGCAAAAGCATATGAATTAAAAGACAAGATATGAGTCAGAAGTTTGTCTAAATTATTAGACGAAGATCCATCTTTACCTAAGCAAATATCAGCCTTCTCTTTCAAGGCCATGCACCTCTCTCTCATACCATCTTTTTTATCTATCATTGCACTTTTTACTACCTGCTCAATCTCACTCTTATCCATCTTACTTCGTTCCAACATTATCCCGACTCGCCATACGTCGACAATGTACCTCGCGTTCACACGCTGGTCCGTTTGAAATGGTGTACATATCGTTGGAACACCTTCACATATGCTCTCCAGTGTCGAATTCCATCCACAATGCGTCCAAAACGCTCCAACCGAGGGATGGGCCAATACCTCTAATTGATTCGCCCATTTCACAATTTTCCCCTTATGTCCAATGTTTTCCATAAAATCACAAGGCAATGACTCGAGCCACTCGACCCCCCGGACCAACCCCGGCCTAACCACCCACAAGAACGGTTGTTCGCTGTTTCTTAGACCCCAAGCAATCTCGAGAAACTCCTTCTCTTCTATAGCTGCAATACTACCAAAACTCGCATAGACCACTGACTTTGGGTCTTGCTTGTCGAGCCAATCGGTTATTGCGTTATCTTCTTTGTTATTTTTTGTCGATGGAAGGTCCTCGCTATGTTTGTGAAATGGTCCGATCGGGAAGAAGGGAACTTGGAAGTTGCGGCTCAAGTCCATGAGTTGGAGTCTTTCAAGATCTTCGAATGTGTTCCATATGACTCCTGAAGAAGACTTAGCTCCTTCCACCATGTCTTTCATTATTCGGTATAGTTCCTCCGGGTCCTTCGTTACTATTACCGGAAGATCCTTGACTTTCAAAGGTGGAAGCTCTATCACTGGATCATCTAATCTTGAATCTGGAGAAAGAAAAAATTTAAATGATAAAATCTTCTTCATATTTCTATAAGAAAGTTTTTTTTTAATAAAAAATTTAGATTCTATGACCCAATCACATTTTTGTGCTTTAATTATTACAGTTTTTTTATCATTGTAGAAACAAATGTTGGAAAAAAAAATATAATTAGGAAACAAATGATATATCATATATCGTTTAGTAAAAATTGTTTATAAAATTAGGAAACAAATTCATAATTGTTGATATTCTCATTTTACATATATTTTAGAGAAACTCTTTAAATACCACAGTTTTTTTTCTCAAATATATCATGACTATTTTTTTTTCAAAAATACCACTAAATGTTTTTGTTTTCCAAAATTACCATAAACACTAAAATTCTT